ACTCCAACCCAAAAAAAAAAAAAAAAAAAATGCTAATAATCAACTGGGAGTGGTGACTCATATCTGTAATCCCAACCCTTCGGGAAGCCAAGGCAGAAGAATTGCTTGAGCCCAGGAGTTCAAGACAGGTCTAGGCAACATAGTGAGACCTCAAGACCTCAACTCTACAAAAAAAAAAAAAAATTAGCAAGGCATGGTGCCGCACACCTGTAGTCCCAGCTACTTGAGAGGCTGAGGCAGAAGCATTGTCTGAGCCCAAAAGACAGAGGCTGCAAGAGCCATGACAGTGCCACTGCACTCCAGCCTGGGTGATAGAATGAGACTCTGACTCAAAGAGAAAAAAAAAAGAATAATATTGTGACCTCCATAACCTGTCCTCCAACTTCAGTAAGTGACATATTTAGTTTTATAAATTCATATTTTACATGGTTTTATGAAGTTTGCAAAGGCTAATATCTGAAATCCATTAAAAATTTAGTTTCACTACATTTTCTCTTCCTTTTTCTTTTTTTGAGTCGGAGTCTCACTCTGTTGCCCAGGCTGGAATGCAGCGGCACACTTACGGCCACCTCAGCGTCGATCTGCTGGGCTCCAGCAATCCTTCCACCTCAGCCTTCCAAATAATCGGAACTACAGATACATGCTACCACGACTGGCTAATTTTTTAATTTGTTGTAGAGACAAGGTCTCGACAAGGTGCCTGGGCTGGTCTTGAACCCGCGGGCTCAGGCAATCCATTTGCCTTAGCCTCCCAGAGTGCTGGGATTACAAACTGAGCCACTGAGCCCAGCCTAGTTTCACTACTTTTTCAATCAGAATCCTTTTTATAGAACATATCTTCAAAATAAAATATCCATTTTAATAGATATTTTGATATTATAGGAAATAAAGACCAAACACCAATACTGTAATTTTGCTCTAGCTCTATATTAAAACAATTTCTTCAAACACTAACACTGTTGATTAATTAAAAGTATGTATTAATTCATTTTGCAAGTTTAATGAACACTGTTTTCTTCCAACTGTTCACTGTAGTATTTTAGTTGCATAATTAAGTTCCAAACACCAACCTACAAGCTAACTTTCAGAGTACCATTTCTAAGTCACCTACTATAGTAAAAGATGTCTCGAGGATAGGAGCAGTGGCTCACACCTATAATCCCAGGACTTTAGGAGACAAAGGAAGGAGGACTGTCTCAGCACAAGAGTACAAGACCAGAATGGGCAATATAGCAAGATCTCATCTCTACAAGAAAAATCAAAAAATTAGTCAGGCATGGTGGTGTGCACCTGTAGGACAGTGAGATGGGAGGATTGCCTAAGCTCAGGAGGTTGAGGCTGTGGTGAGTCATGATTGTGCCACTGCACTCCAGCCTAGGTAACAGAGTGAGATCCTGTCTCAAAATAAATAATCAAGTAAATAAAAGATGTCTCATATAGAAAACAATACAATAAAATAAAAAATAGACAGGTATGGTAGCATGCATCTATAGTTCCAGCTACTTGGAAGGCTGAGGCGGAATGATCACTGGAGCCCAGGAGGTCGACGCTGGGGTGGCAGTGAGCATTCATGCCATTGCACTCCAGCCTGGGTGAAGGAGTGAGACTCCAACTCAAAAAAAAAAAATATATATATATATATCTATGCCTAGCACATATACTGTACTATAGTATTGATCTGTATAATAACATTTCACAATAAGAGTATGGTTTAAATTAAAATGTTCTTTTACTTACTCACTTTGAATCTTTCCTTAAAGTCTGCCAGGAGTACCTGAAAATAGTTTGCTTTATTTGGGAACAATAATTTCTCTCTGTCCTAACCACAAGTAGTCTAATGATTCTGCTTAAGTAACAAACGGGTTTCACGAGCATTAAATTAAACAAAGTTTTCTGCCATCTAGTTTCCAAGTCTTTAACCTTCCACCCATTCTTTCTAGAAACATCACATCTGTCAGACCATATATGTCTTTTATCACTTTTAATTTACCTCTAATCCAAATCTATACTCAATTTTTCCAACTTCCAAAAAAAAAAATCCTTTATCTATTTCTGTATGATCCAGGATCTAATCAAAGATTATTCACAGCTGTTATTAGTCACGTGTCTATTTAGGCTCCTTAAATATAGAACACACCCCCAGGCTGGGCACCATGGCTCACGCCTGTAATCCCAACAATTCAGGAGGCTGAGTTGAGAGGATTGCTTGAGTCCAAGAGTTCGAGACCAGCCTGGACAACATAGCAAGACTTTGACTCTTAAAAAGAAAAAAGAAAGAAAGAAAGAACATGCCCCAGTCCCAACTTTTTTTTTCTTTCAAGACATAGACATTATTTTAAAAATCCAGGTCAAGTGTCTCATTGAAAGTCCTACAAGATTTATCTGATTGTTTCCTCATAATTAGATTCATGAATACTCCATAGTGGCAAGAATACTATACAGGTGATGCTGTGAACTTTCTACTACAGATGATAGAATATATTTTAATATAACACTCTATTATTTTTCCAGAGTTTTCTTTCCAGGCTTTTCTTCCACACTGCCAACACCAACTCTGCAAATTTTGCTGCTGATACTTTCTTAATTTTACCAGAAAATATTTTTTTTTATTTTTTTTTATGACTAAAACCAGAACTCTACATCTACTTTGCTGAAGGCCAACATAAGGGTTGGTTGGTTGGAGACTTGAGAAGAATCCATAATCACTCTGTGGAGAGGAAGGAGAGGATTGGGAGAAAACAACACAAAGGCCAAATGCTGGTTCACTATTGGCAAATAAATCTATTATGCACAGAATCATGAGGATTAAGGCACGCATATACTCAATACCTAGCTACCACTGAAGAGGATCTAATTTTCTTCAATAGAATTCCCATTCCAACAAAAGTGAAAACTAAAAAAAAAACAAAAAAAAAAACCCATCAGATTATGGTAAGTATCTAGCAAAAATAAATAAATTTGGGGGGGTAACAATTTAGGCTGAAGCCTTTCATCATAATTTTCAACACAGTTCCTCCTGACAACCTCCCACTTAAGCAACTACTAACAGGCCTAGGAACCCTTTCATTCCCAGCAAAATTCAGGGAAAGCCTCTGCTGCCTATTGTGTAACAGTTTTGACAGACAAGAATGTGTATTACACATTGTGGTACACTCTCTTGTTTAATTGGAGAGCTAACACAGAACAATCAACTGCTAATATCCATTCTTACTGTGTCGAATTCAAGTTCAACAATAATGTAGAATGTTTTTAAAGCCCTTACAAGTCAACTTATAGCCCCAGGGCAGTTCCAATAACCAGATAATTAGCCTCTGAAACTTTAAGTTTTATCATAATTATAGCCTAAGGCAATGACGCTTTTCCCAAACTAATTCTTTTATTATCCTCTACCATACTACAAGACTTATATTCAATAAAAAAAAATACAAAACCTGGGAAAAGTTACACATTTAAGTATTAATAGAAAACAGCTCATATTTAGTCCAAGACACTCACTTCCTTCCATTAACTCCTTTCATGTTAACAAGTTATCTTCTCAGCCAGGCACAGTGGCTCAGGCCTGTAATCCCAACACTTTGGGAGGCGGAGACAAGAAGACTGCCTGAGCCCATGGGTTCAAGATCAGCCTGGGCAACATGGCGAAACCTCATCTCTACAATAAATCAGAAAGAAAAAAAAATTAGCTGGGTATGGTGGCACTTGCCCATAGTTCCAGCTACTTGGAAAGCAGGTGGAAGGATCCCAAGCCCAAAAGGTCGAGGCTGCGGTGGCCATGAGAGTACCACTGCACTCCGGTCTGGGCAACAGAATGAGATGCTGACTCAAAAAAAAAGTTATCTTCTCATCTCATATAGCTGGAGTTCTTCTTAAAAGGAATTATATAGCAAGAGTCATGATGATCAAGAATGTAGCTTAGGCAAACACTCTCACATACTACTGAAAAATAGAACTAGATAGCATGTATCACAATTCTTTAATTTGTACATATTCTTCACTTCCAGAAATTTACCTAAAAGAAATAAAAGGCCAAGGGAAAAAATATCTGTATGTTCAAGAATGTTCATGCTATCTTTGTTTATAACAGTAAAAAAACTGAAAGTGATCTAAATAGCTAATGACAAGTAATTTTAAAAATTCACCTATTGGAGGCCAGGAGTGGTGGCTCACACCTGTTATCAACCTGTCAATTTGAGAAGCTAAGCATTCAGCAGCAGAAATGGGACTACAAAGGAAAGGCTCCTGGGAGATCTGTGGGGCTGTGACTTTCTGCATGTCTGCCACCAGACCCGGAAGTATGCCAGTTCAGGATGCCTGATGCCACTGTTGGCCAAATTGTAGAATCCAGCATCTCTGTGTCTCTCACTGCATCTAACCACAAAAGGCTTCAGAGGGTAGAGGGTGTTGCTTACACACAGATTACTCTTTTGGCCAATTCTAATCAGCAAACATGTAAGGAATAAGAGACATATAGCTCCCGCTTAAGTAAACCGACATAGTACAAGTCACTACAGTACGTTCTGTAAGGAGGGTGTACATACATACATACCTCTTTTAATCATATTTAATTCCTGAATAAGACAGCAGCAAAATGATGCTGCAGTCAAACATGATATAACTATCCTCCATATGACTAAAAATATACTAATTCTCCAAAAGAGAATGTGAAGTCTACTTTCTCTCCCTGGGTTATGTTCATTCCTTTTCTAGCTGAGTCACACTTCCCCTTTGATATTCTGTAACTTAAATACTAAAAGTAACTACTATTAACACATCTTAAGTTACATAAAGGAGAAATAAAAGAGGGAAGAATTGGTTGATGTATGTACAATACTAAGGTATAGAATATTTGTAACTATTAGAATCTTCATTCTGTAAGAGATCATGATGTTATAGCTGGTGTTCCTAATTTTCTTCTCCTGTCCATTTCATATTCCCTCTGCCATTAGCAAGCACCTCATCTGGTCACTGTTCTTGCCTGGTGGGGTAACCCTAACCTCTGCCATTAGGAACCCTGCCTGTATCAGGTTCAGTTTTCCATTAACTTTTATCACAGGACATAGGCGTAATAAGATCCCTGTATTCCAAACATACTCCTCTTTAACCCCATTGAGTAGAAGCAACCCAATTTCCACTTCAGAATCAATCACCCTACCAACACAGTGACCCCCTGCTTTGCCTGTTAATTTACTGGCATGAGGAGGCCAGAGTGGCCAGATGTTCAACATCCAGTTTAATAGAACCAATTGCTATGTTTCCTAGCAAAAGCATTCCTCTGGGTGATAGAGTGAGACTCCAACTCAAAAAAAAAAGAGTCGCCACCCAGTTAGTGCAGTAAGTGAGTCTTCAAGAAGAAGACATTCTACTGTGGCATTAATTCAGGGTAATAGGGAATATAGGAACACTAGGAATTCCATGAACATGAGCTCAATGCCACATTTCACTTGCTATACAATGAACTCTCTGGTCAGAAGCAGAGTGGTATAAAATACTATGACATAAATAAGGCATTCTGTAAGTCACAGTTACAGCAGAAGCAATGCAAGCAGGAAAGGTTAATCTATGCCCAGAATAAATAATTATTCCAGTGAGAACAAAGTGCTCTCCTTTTCAGTATGGAAGTGGTTCAATATAAGCAACCTGCCACCAGATGTCTATCAGAGAAATGGTACTATCTCAAGGGCTCTATGTTGGCTCTATGCTATTGGCAAGTTGGTCTTTCAGCAGTGCAGTAGTCAGGTAAGTCTTGGTGTGTGGAAGTCCATATTGCTAAGTACATACACAACTTTCATGCCTGCCACCATCAAATCTCATAAATTCACTGGACAAGGTGGATGAGGAAAAAGGCTGGTGATATCTTGTCCAACTGATTATTAAGATTCTCCTCAGCCAGGTGCAGTGGCTCACGCCTATCATCCCAACACTTTGGAAGGCAGAGGCGAGAGTCCAGGGGTTTGACACCAGCCTGGGCAACTTGGCAAAATCTTGGCTCTACAATAAATTTAAAAAATTAGCCAGGTGTGGTGGCACGCACCTGTGGTTCCAGCTACTTGGAAGGCTGAGGTGGAAGGATCGACTGAGCCCAGCAGGTCAAGGCTGTGGTGGCCGTAAGCATGTCACTGCATTCCAGCCTGGGTGACAGAGTGAGACTTTGACTCAAAAAAAGATTCTCCTCTGTGTGAACTATAAAACACTGCTTAAAGAAATCAAAGATAACACAAACGGAAAAACATTCCATACTCATGGATTGCAAGAATCAATATTGTCAAAATATCTATTATACCCAAGGCAATCTACAGATTCAGTGCCATTCCTATCAAACGACTAGTATCATTCTTCACAGATCTAGAAAAGATAATACAGAAATTCATATGAAAGCAATAGAGCCCAAATATCTAAAGCAATTCTCAGCAAAAGGAACAAAACTGGAGACATCACATTTCCAGACTTCAAACTTTCCTACAAGGTTACAGTAACCAAGATGGCACGGTACTGGTACAGGAACAGACACAAAGACCAACAACCAATGGAAGAGGACAGATAATCCAAAAATAAAACTACAGACAACCAGCTCATCTTTAACAAAGTCAGTGAAAACAAAACGTTGGGGAAAGAAGATCATATATAGCAAATGGGAAACCATATTTGCTGATAAATATTCAAGGTCAAGTTCTCAGAAGCAAATGCAGCAAAAGCTAAGATTGACAGGAGGGACCTTACCAAACTAACAAGTTTTAGCAAGTGGCCTTGTCCTCCGCTGTCCTCCTGCTGTACAGACGCTGCCCCACTCTTGTCAGCCTCTGCAGGCCATCTCCCTAAGACCCAGCACCATGCCTTCAATTAAGTTGCAGATTTCTGATGGAGAGATATTTGAAGTTGATGTGGAGATTGCCAAACAATCTGTGACTATCATGATCATGTTGGAAGATTTAGGAATGGATGATGAAGGAGACGATGACCCAGTTCCTCTTCCAAATGTCAGTGCAGCGATTTTAAAAAAGGTTGCTGAGTGGTACACTCACCACAAAGATGACCCTCCTCCTCCTGAGGATGATGAGAGCAAAGAAAAGCAAACAGATGATATCCCTGTTTGGGACCAAGAATTCCTGAAAGTTGGCAAAGCACAGTGGCTTAGCCCGTAATCCCAGCACTTTGGGAGGCCGAGACGAGAGGATTACCTGAGCCCGGGAATTCAAAACCAGCCTGGACAACTTGGTGAGACCTCGTCTCTACAATAAATAAAATAATAAGCCAGGTGTGGTAGCACATGCCTGTAGTTCCAGCTACTTGGAACACTGAGGCAGAAGAATCGCCTGAGTCTAGCAAGTCGAGGCTGCAGTGGCTGTGAGCGTGCCACTGCACTCCAGCCAGGGCAACAGAGTGAGACCATGACTCAAAAAAAAAAAAGAATTCCTGAAAGTTTATCAAGGAACACCTTTTGAACTTATTCTGGCTGCAAACTACTTAGACATCAAAGATTTGCTTAATGTTACATGCAAGACTGTTGTCAATATGATCAAGGGAAAGACTCCTGAGGAAATTCACAAGACTTTTAATATCAAAATCAACTTTACTGAATAAGAGGAAGCCCAGGCAGACAAAGAGAACCAGTAGAGCTAAAAGAAGTGAAATGTTGTGCCTGACACTGTAACACTGCAAGGACTGTTTCAAATACTAGTTGCACTGCTCTGCTTATAATTGTGAATATTAGACAAACAGTAGACAAACGCAGCAACAAATCAGTTGTATTAGCAGAATAGTGTTCTCATAGCATGTGTAGTTTGAGTACAGATTCCAAGCCTATGGCTGCATTTCTTCTAGTATAATCGAAAGTTTCTTTTTCTTTGCTCTGAATAAAACTGCTGTGGGTTCTCTATAAAAGTGGCATTTTGGGCTTTCTCTCTTTTTTTTGGTAAAGCAATGTCTGCCTAATTTATTGTCCAGTTAACTTTAGTGACCTTTTAAAAGTTGGCATTGTAAATAAAAAAACTTGCAAAAGGTTTTCTGAAGTAGAATTAACAAAATATTATCTTTATTCATGAGTTGGAAACCAGGAAAAGGGGTACTTGAAGTAAATGATCTGAGGGACTTTTAGGATGTCTTCCAGCCTCCTGGTATTGATTAGCCTGTACGTTGCAGGGCTCCCTTAATTGCATCAAGGACATGTTTTTAATTTTTAATCTTCGTAGCTTTGACTGTATTGCCTATAGACTCAGTTACTATCCAGTTTATGGTTTTTTGGGAAGAAATATCTGGACAGTCTGTTAGCTTTTCAATTAAAAAAGACACTTAACTCCTGTGGTATGTCATCTTTTTATAATCAGTATTCCCACGTAGGGAAAACTATTCACACTACTTGCATGTAAAAAATAATTTTATCAGCCAGGCTCAGTGGCTCAGCCTGTAATCCCAGCACTTTGGGAGGCCGAGGTGAGTGGATTGTGGATTGCCTGAGCCCGCGGGTTCAAGACCTGCCTGGGCAACTTGGCGAGCCCTCATCTCTACAACAAATCAAAAACTTAACCAGGCGTGGTAGCGCGTGCCTGTAGTTCCAGCTACTTGGAGGGCTGAGGCGGAAGGATCGCCGGAGCCCAGCAGGTCGAGGCTGCGGTGGCCGGAAGCGGCCACTGCACTCCAGTCTGGGCGACAGAGTGAGACTCCAACTCAAAAAAAAAGAAAAGAAAAAAATAATAATTTTACCTTTAACATTAAAATATGTGGCAAGCCACAGAAAACATTCATTATGAATGCAAGATACTTTCAATAAAAAGTAAGTTATAAACTGGACTCGGTGGCTCAGCCTGTAATCCCGCACCTTTGAGAAGCTGAGGTGAGCGGACTGCCTGAGCCCGCGGGTTTGAGACCCACCTGGGCAACTTGGCGAGACCTCATCTCTACAATAAATCAAAAAAAATAAGCCGGGCATGGTAGCACACACTTGTAGTTCCAGTTACTTGGAAGGCTGAGGCGGAAGGATCGCCGGAGCCCAGCAGGTCGAGAGTGTGGTGGCTGGAAGCGGCCACTGCACTCCAGTCTGGGCGACAGAGTGAGACTCCAACTCAAAAAAAAAAAAAAAAAAAAAAGTAAGTTATATATATATTAAAAAAATAAAAGTAAGTTATATAGTAGGTAGTTAACCGTTTGCTTTTATGATTTAAATATGTCTCTTCATTTAACAGTAAATAGGTCAAATTTTTTGTATATTTGTTTAGCTTGAAAAGACTATTTTAGGCAGTTCATGACCTAGCTCACTGGAGGCTGCTGACATAACCACAGGATACTGACCATAGGATACAGGTAGACTTCTTGTCTCTAACTGTCATTTATATGGTTAACCAGAGCCAGTGTTTCAGTTCTTAACACAAAATTATCCTGCCCTTGTTTCCAGCTTCCCTTTTACAGTAAAATGAAGTGTTTCGATAGCCTGAGATGGCTCACAAATTTTTATTTGATTTTTTTCCTTGTGTTTCCTTTTTTCTCCTTCCTTTCCTAGTTAACATCATCTTTATTCACATGTAATCTTATTGTATTGTTTTCACATTTACTATGAGTTGTTCAGATTCAGATTATCACTTGACAGTACCTCACCTCTCATTTGTCCCAAATTCACCTTATTTAATAAAGTCTCAAGTTGTGTCAAAAAAAAAAGTTTTTGCATGGCAAAAGGAAATCATCAAGAAAGTAAAGAGACAACACGCTGAATGGGGAAAAAAAAGTCATGTGTCTGGCAAAGGCCTAACATCCAGGATCCACAAGGAACTCGAACTGACAAGAAAAAAACAAACAACCCCATTAAAAAGTGGGCAAAGAACACAGACAATTCTCAAAGGAAGACATTCAAGCAGGCAACAAACATGAAAAAATGCTCAGCCTCACTAATCATCGGAGAAATGAAAATCAAAACTACAATGAGACACCACCTCACACCAGTAAAGATGGCTATGATTAAAGTCAAAAACAACAGGTATTGGAGAGGTTGCAGGGAAAAGGGAACACTTCTACACTGTTGGTGAGAATGTAAGCTGGTTCAACCTTTGTGGAAAACAGTACGGCGTTTTCCCAAAGAACGAAAAATTGAGCTACCATACAACCCAGCAATCCCACTTCTGGAAATATACCCAGAGGAACATAAACCACTCTACTCGAAAAGACACCTACACACGTATGTTCACCATAGCACTATTCACAACAGCAAAAACTGTATAAAGAAAAGTGAACTGTATAAAGAAAATGTGGTACATGTACACGATGGAAAATTATGCAGCCATAAAGAACAAAATCATGTCCTTTGTAGCAACATGGATAATACAGCTGGAGATCATCATTCTAAGTGAACTATCACAGAAACAAAAAATTGAATACCGCATGTTCTCACCCACAGCAGGCCCTGGCTGCTGATCACACTAATACAATGGTGGGAGCAACAGACACTAGACACTGCTAAAGGAGGGAGGAAGGATAAGGGGCACACAACCATATTCTGGGTACCAGATCCACTATCTGGGGAGAAAGAGCTCACTAGAAGCCCATACCTTACCTGCATGCAATTTACTTATCCCACATGTATCCCATTCTCTAAAGTTAAATTAAATTAAATTTAAAATGATTCTTCTCTGCTAAGGAGACACTCACAAATAACAAAAATATTCTGTTTCAGTTCAGAAGTATATCCTCATATCTATTCCACATACTTCCCATCATATTCCTTCCAAGTCCATACTAAATCAAACTATTAGACACTGCCATGAACCAGAGCAGATCCACAACTCTAACCAACATAGGAGAGTCCTAAGCAAAATGATCCAAACTACACCCAATAGAAGAATCTCCCTTCACCATTGTCGTCCAGGTTCACCCGTGAGTGTGGCTGTGGTGCTGCAGATGTCTACTCTCAAGTGGTCCAGCATATGACGCAGATGCAACCTGAGCCTAAGTTTTTTCTTCCTCAGTTAATTAGAGCACCTCATGAAGCCACGGGTGTGGGCCAAGGGTGAAGAAGCAAAGTAGGAGTATAAACCACAAGAAAGGTATACAAATATTCAATAACAAAAGCAGGCTATAAAATTATTATATAACTGATTTTTTAAAAATATACACACATACACAGAAAAGGTCTAAAAGTATATATAAGAATGGTTATCTCTGGGTGGTGAGATATGGGTGATTTTCAACATTCTTTATATTTTTCTATATCCAACTTTTTCTTATTTTTATTTTTGTAGAGATGGGGTCTCGCTATATTGTCCAGGCTGACCTCAAACTCATGGCCTCAAGCAATCCTCCCAGCTCAGCTTCCAAAGTGCTGTGATTATAGGTGTGAGCCACAGCACCCTGTCTCCGAATTTTTCAATGACCATTACTTCAATCAGAAAAAAAGCTATTTTTAGTAAGAAATTTTAATAACACCAAGAATTATCTTGATATCTTAATGAAAAAAACTAATATATATTTGGATATATAGTGTGACCTAATTTTATTTAGTGTAATTAATACCTACCTATACAAACTAAGGTAACAGATAATGAGGAGATACATCAACATGTTAACAGTTGAGTTACAAAATGATTTGTTTTCATCCTTTTCCTTTTGTGACATTTCCAAACATTCTACAATAACTGTGTAACATTCTTACTGCAACCATCTTGAAGATGCCAGGAAACTAAGAATAAGGCTAATACTACTTCCCTACCACCCCACCACAAATGAGGGGAGAAATATAAAGAACCTGAATTAGATGACACTGAGCTGAAGAATTAGTCAATCTAGGGACAATTCTACTGTGGGATTTGTTATATGAAATAATAAATGTTCTTTGCTGTTTAAGCTAATTGAATTTCTTACTCACAGCCAAATCCTAAATGATTTAACTTTTAAGTGGGTATGCTTCACAAAAAGGGTCTTGGCTGAACTTTACCCCTAGTCACATAGATGAAAAATCTATCAGAATACTTTCCAAATTACTGAGGCTGTCTTCTAAACTAGCCCACTAATTTACTGCTGGTTGTGTCACGCATTAAAATGTTACCTGAGAAATCACTCCAGTTTGCCCTTCCTACAAAGCAATTATATTTTAATCTGTAGTAGCCTGTTCAGACTGCCATTAACAAAATACCACAGATTAGTTAGCTTAAGCAACAGATATTTATTCTCTCACAGTTGTGGAGGTTTGAAGTCTATAAAGAGTCCAGTCGGGTTCTGTTTCTGGAAAGGGATCTCTTCCTGGCTTGCAGACTGCCATCTTTTTGCTATGTCCCTACTTGGCAGAGAGAGACTAATTTCTAGGATCTCTTCCTCTTGGACACCAGTTCTAGCAGATCAGGGTTGCACTCTTATGGCCTCAATGAACCATAATCACCTCCTTAAAGGTCCTATCTCCAATACGGTCACGTGGGAGTAGGGCTCAACATATGAATTTGGAGGGGGACACAAATCAATCCACAGCATAATCTTTACCTTCAAACACTGGGAAATACTGCCTTCTTACAAATACCCAAAATATACACTTGATAGTGATTCTTTTAACGGTTACGTATAATTAGTATTTAGTTTTGACAGCATTTTCACACAGTTAACTAGGCAGA